TATCATCATGCATTATATCTCGTCTATGTACATGCTTCGCCGTACGCGATTGAAGGCGGCAATCGAGAGATGGGTCTTCGGCCATCAAGATGATTACGCCAGCTGAGCTTGGCTTCGGCCTGCTTAGACGTAGAACTGCTCTACAGCAGTGCAATGAAAGCCATCACCTCGATGGCCCTTATGATTGTTCTTACTATCATCATTGTCATCCTCGTTATTAACATCATTATCGAGCTAGCTTGGTTTTGTATAACCTTATGGCTCACCTAATTATATATAATATAATAACTTTCTATGTATATATATATATATATATGTATATCGTGTGTTTTTAACCTTCTTCTGTGTATCTACATTGAAGAAAACATGGAAGCCCGTTGTATTGGTTAGTCTATTTGTTGATTAGTTAGCGTAACATCTGTCTGATACAAAGGGTTTGGTAGCAGTTGCCTGTGCATAGCATAGTTACTTCTGAGATGCGTAACTGATTTGCGATTCAATCAACGTAGACGCTTCCCAGAGCTTGTAACTCGATTACTTTCTAAACTCGGTAAGCCTATACGGTCCAGAGCCAATCCTATAGCGATTTTCTGAAATAAACCACCTCGTGACTCCTTTTATCCGTTTGAAAGATAAACGCCATTTCCAATTTCTTTTTCAAAGTATCAATAGAAGCTGCTATTTCATGTGCCGAGTTGTCCATTCAAGTTTGGGCTAGAAGCATCTTAGAAGTAAGGGTTAAAATCATTCAATTCAAAACAATTGCATACATTACAATACAATATATTGTTGATCTTGTGATATATGGTAGAATCGTACGATCTAGGTGCAAATGATCGCCACAAATTGCCGTTAGGGTAATTGGTTTGCTTTTCTCTTTCTCAACTCAAAACTTCAACCTACTTCTTGATGCTTCGACAGCTTATATGACTACTCGGCTACAGATTGGTAACAGAAGAAGAAGAAACTTATAGATATTTTCCATTGGTGCACCCTCATGTCTACCTTAGGACTTATAGAAATATCCCGAATGCCCCAACTGCCATGTATGATCAAATTATTTATAATGTTTACCAGTCCATAAGCCATAACCGGCAGCTTTCACTGTATAATAGAGATTCTGCCGTTCTGTCATTTTTCAGGATGTTGTATGTCGTTATGTTTGGTGTTCAACGGTACACACAGAGCCGTGTACATACATTGTGCACCGACGATATGAAGAAATAGAAGTAATAATAATCGGTAACAATTACAATCGTATTATTGTTTATGCATGATAATGTTATAATAACTATCGTCACGATTGAAAATGTCCCTGTTCCATAGGCTGTTCTCCTATTTTTTACTTCGATGTCTGCAGTAGTAGTTGGTTTGAGTGCGTTCATAAATTGCGTGGAATGAAGCAATACGATGCAATGGGACTTTTCGTACAATCTGTTAATCTGTTATCTTGCCGTACATGACAACCGACCGGAAACTAGGCTGAGTAACGACAACAAGTGAAAGCAAATTTTTGTATTGCTCTCAAGGATTCTCAAGGATTCAAGTATCGCTGTGTTTTCGGGGGGTTCGGCATTTCCGAGCGCTATTTGATGTGTTATGTCCTATTGTGACACCGTTGAATGGTACCTACAATGATAATAAACGTAAGCTACACTAAAGAGTAACAAGATAGAGAAAAACGACTGTTTTCCCGACTTATCGTGATCACCTATGTTGCTCGTTGATGACACGAGCGCACCGGCTTTGCAACCTCCAGAGATATACGGCGTCTCGGTTAAGGGTCATGTGCTACTTAGGCCGATCACGGAATTTTCTGTTTTGGTTCTATGAATATTACTACTAAAGATTGGATGAAAGAGATTCTTGCATCACATTTCGTCGTTGATTCATAATTTTACCAACTCTTAGATTGCGCCCCTGATTGCTACTGGATATCTTTTTCGGCGTTTCGACTCGAGAATGGCGTATTGTAAAAACCAGGTATCGATTTTATCTGATCGGTGCATCGTGTTCCCCAATTCAACACTGGGTTATATGCTATCAGCAGACGCGATGCGTGAATGTATTTATATCTATGTGTATAGCTTTAGTTTGTCTAGCTGTAGGAACACTCAATAACAGTAACCGTTGCTGATAAGCGGTGCTATGTGTGTTAAACAATACAAGATAATATTAGTTTTGCTATGAGAATGATGAACCAATATAATAAGCACTGTAGCATAACAAGGGCTCTATAGTCTCTCTTTCTGCACACGGTGTTATTAGTATCATTAGTAGTTTAAGCTGGCTGACAACGATCACAACATTCTAGTAGAGAGAAGATTGATCATTTGTAGGAGTGTGACAATCCGGCAAATACACACAATAAATAAAACAACACATTAATGCATTGTTCTCAGTTTTACTTATCTTGACATTGTTCTTTTTCGCTCTGGCAATAATACGTACACCGATTGGCAAGGTTGAGGGGGCAACAACGCTTTGATTATAGAAGCACACATCGGCCACACCCAGTCTAGAATCTAGTTTCCTATTCATAACGTGATCACGTATATGTGATTTGAGTGCGCCTTTATGTCGAACCGTTGGATCCTGCTCATCGTCCGAACCGCGATTACGCCTATTAAAAGGCTAAAATTCACTGAGTCTGCTTCATAACGAGTGATACCCTGGCTGTCATCGCCGAGTCCGTCGAATCAAAACGTATGTTACGCTTAAGAGTACCGCGCAGATGCGGGGGTACATGGACAGGAACTTAGGAAAACAGACAATACATGCATTTTTCTTTCTGTTCACTTTACCGAGTTGTCGAGAGCTGTAAATAAGAGGAACACTATGGATTTGTATTGGATGATGTAGACATGTTATTGGCTAACTATCAGGTTGAGAGTCGACGCTGCAGACAGGAATGATAAACTCTGGTAAAATCCTTGGAGGACCATACAGAGGGCTAGCATCGCGGTATAAAACAATGCTTTCTTTAAGCGGATTGCTTTGCGTTGCTATTCTCGTACATGTGTTTGGGACTGCTGCTTCTGCTGTCAACTAGACCCTTTTCGTTTGACCAAGCTGCGCTTCGGCATCCGCTCTTCTTCTTCTTCTGTCTTTACCTCTTTTTTGTCCCCCTTTTGGCTATATCCTTCTTTAGCATCTTCTCATATTCTATTTCTATTCGGGTATCTGGTCCTCGTTTGTCTATGCCTTGGACAAGAGCCACGTCTCACCTCTCTATCCTTCAATACCTCACAGTCTAGGCCCGTAGCTTCTCGTGTGTATATCTCTCTTCTAACATGGTTTCTTTTTTTCTGCATCTGTGCTTTAAGTGAATATCGATAGCTATTTACAGTTGTCTCTGTTTTCGTTTTTTGTCAATGTCGACTTCCCGCTGTACACCGCAGGATTGTCTACCCTTCGCTCACTTTGGACAGCAGCGAAGCGAGACGACACTAGTTCCGATTCTAGAATCTCTATTCAAGTATCTGTTGTCCCTGCGCGCCTCTGAGTACTTCAGTGGCTGGCTGTCCCTTGCTTCTATTTTCGTCTATCTTTCTGTGTAGCTCAGGTGTTGTATTCGCCCGATTTGTAGTCAGACGCTCTAGACGGTTCCCCTCAAACCTGTCTCGTCCTTGCTTATCTTGTGTTGCGTCATGCGCCAATACGATGCCGAACTACTACTTTGTTCTGAAGTTTCTCTCTTGAGAATCGAAGCAATGCTTCAGCGGATTCTGTCTCGTCAAAGGCTAGCATCGAAGGGTTTGTGAGCGACGCCTCGGAAAATGTCTCCTCTTATATACTTCAGAATGGAGTTTCTATCATAGGTGTTGCTTTTGTACGCGCGTCGTTGTAGATATTTGGGTAATGAAGGGACCGGACTATGCATATGTTGTTGTCGCGTCCTATTGTCTGTATCTATATGTATACATCGACAACCTACCTACTTGCCTACTTTCCTCTTTCTCAAAATCGGAACATGAAAAGGGATGTCAGATAACCTGTAACCGCGTAGCTTGCTGCTGTTTCAGCGAGCTTCGTTGTATATTCATTTCTCCTGCAGTCGGCTATTTTGCTTCACACTTCTGCGTGTTTTTCATCGTCCGGAATCCGCAAAGGGTTGGAAAATTATATCTATTGAAAAACTATGATTGCCTGCACTCAAGTCGACTGGATCTTTTATACGCTGTTGTTCATCGACGCACTAATATGTCGACCTTGCCACAGATCCCCTATATTGGGTATGTGCTTGTGTAATTAAGTTCTAGATCATCGTTCGCCTGAGCACAGGTTAAGTTTGCCGACCCAAAAATTTCAACATTATTAGTGATGAAGTGAGCTAAGTGATTAAATAGTACTGTAACACGATGTTTCAATAGAAACAAGAATTCCAATACGTGCATACGTCTTTCAATCACCGGTCTTTCATATTCGCCTATACTATTAGTCCTGTATTTGTATATGTGTGCTTTCGAGTATTATATAAACGCCAAATAATTTACTTGCTCTATTTTCATTTTAGTTGGGGTCGGTAGATTTGGTGCCTCATGTGTAGGCTAATAACACAACAGGAAGATAACGAAAAACAAATTACGTGCAATATAGAAGAATATATGCGAAACACGAAGAACTGACGTACCTCGTGTGCATAGCTCACATGAAGCTCTCGCTCCACACACCTTTGCAATACAATTGAGGTGAAAACTGTTTTAGATATGTACCATTAACTGTACGTGGAAAAAGCAAACATTTTTCACACTAAAAAACTACAGCTCAAACAGAACTTGTCAACGCCAACACCTCATAAATCATATGATAGGTTTCCTTAGTCCATTAATGCTTGCTGATTGATACTCTCTTAATCCAAGGGGACGCACGGACACCGCGTATGTCGAGCCGTAATCCATGCGGATACATACTATTCTAATATGATGGTGCATTATCTTGACCCCCCCCCCCCCCCCTAACGTATAAACAAGGTGACGCCTACCGTTGAGTCGCTCAGTTATTGTAATATAACGAGCACCGCTTCACTTACCAGTACGTTCAACTGATGGGTATCGTGTCCTACGATATGATATAATGGGGTTAGTCGTGACAAGCACTATTCAAGTATTTGTGATGGGACTAGATTCTCGTGGTAATACACGTCCATCATAGTGCTGCTCCCTTTCTGCAGTTGATCCTAATCGTTTCTCGATCATTTTTTATATAGTTCTCGTTGTTATTTTTTCAGATCTGTCGTAAGCTGTACTGCACTGCATTGCTTGTTCTTTACGCGGTACGATGAATATATTATACATCGCATTATATGTAGACATATACAAACATGTCTTCTATAGCTGTGCCCAGCACGTATCATATTATTATTATTATTAATTATTATATTCGAATTTTAGCTCTATCTGCTATCTGCTAGATTTAATAGTTCAGAATACATCACGAGGGCATTTGTGGACGTTGTTCTGAAGATTGGTCGCCGTAAGCCATTTAGGGGATTTCGGATTTGACGCCATTGCGCATGACAAGCTCTCGCCGTTTCGAGAGGCACCCAAAAACCGCCCCAAAAACAATGAATGTCGCGAACATAAACACCATCAGCGCAAAAAGCTCGTTCGTGATCATCGGGGGTACTGGCGGGGCAGCCGGTAGCGAATTAGTGGCATTGATCATGAATCCTAATGACCATCCCAAGCGATAACCACTTTCCTGTAATACAGACAGTAGAAAAAGCATTGCAATAACACATGGAAAACGATGTTCTTCTTTAACAGCTTCGATTTCAAACATTGTATGAATCTTATTGGTACGTAAATTAAAAAAAACTTCGCGAATATTCGATCAATACACGTAAAAAAAACCCGTACAGGCCTCAAAATATATATACGAAGCTATACGATACCGAAGAGTCAGTGCGCAAACAATATCTTTTTACGATAACTAGCGGGTTTCTTAAGACGATTGTAATCGCTGGAACAATGCGAAACTACAAAATCGGTGTACAAACAATTTATTTGTAAATAAAATGCACTAGAATCGAACATATTTTTAATATGAAAAACACGTAAGCAGATGTCTGACCTGCAGCTTAATCTTCGCTAACACATCTTGCAATGGAAGCTCCGGAGAATCTTAGCATATAGAATTACCTTTATTTTTATTAATCAACGATCTACAAGGAGAAAAATGTTTTGAATTTTTTTTTTCAAAATAGCTACCGCATTTCATTTTCTAGCATAAATTAATAATCTAGATTTTAACCAGAAAGCTAAATCATTATCAATAATTAAATGGTGATCTCTGCTGCCTAGAATAAACGACGTGCTTTTTTTTGAAGAGAAACGACACCGTCACCCATTCTTCAAATTTTACAGTGGTCATAGCGTTCCGGGTATGCCTTCAGTAGGCCAAAGATTCAATAGAGAGTCAACTTATATTCAAAGTTCAATTACCGTCAGCATAATCTTCAATTATCGGTCGTGCTACTATGTTCCAAAACCCTAATGGTGTAAATAAAAAAATTACAAAAAAATCTCTATTGTTAAAGTATTACTAAACGATCTTTATAATAGCTAGTACAACTGATTCGTTCACATCTTCACGGCGTTATCATGCAGTCAGATCTTTTTAAATGCGCTGAGAAAACTTACTCATACACCTATTTTTGCATAGCGTGTTACGTCTTAATATTAGGCCACATTCCTCCTAGTACTCAGGCTAAGCTTGAGCGAGCGAATCTATGACCATCACTTGGAGGAATAAATCCAAGGAGCAACCTTGTTGTGGATCTCAACTAACTTAAGTTTTTCTGTAAAAAAAAATTATAGTTGAAACAAGTATAGACGTCATAATATGTTGTGTCTTAATCAAGCTCCTTTTTTTCCATAAATCAATCGACTTTTGAATCTGATTTATTTTTCCGCACACCCTATTTTTCAGGCGCCCCTAGTGGCGCGTATTACAGTAGATTTACCACAACTGCTGTATCTGTCACATATTGCTTAATAACCCACTAATTGATTTTGCATGGCACACAATGATTTTCATTTATTCAGTGTTGTTCTAGTATCAGGAATATTAATGCATTGACCTTTTATTTTTTTTAGCCCTATTATTATTATTGTCATTACCAGAATTTGCTGCCCAACCAGCACAATTTGTGCAATAATTATCATGGAACCTTTACTTTACCATTATACTTATTGCGGCTTATAAATCAAAACATTTGCCTCCCTAATTCTTTAGCTGACTTAAGAGCCCGAAAATTTAAAACTAAGCGCCAAAGATACCCAACTTTTAGTTAGACACTCATGAGTAGCGCTTATACATGATGAAGACGCCACTTATATCGGTGAATAGTGTGGCCTATTTCAGCTATGGTTTACTTTTTATTGCCCGCCAGGTATTAGGTCTCTATCAAAAGGGGCGTATTCCTTTTTCTGTTTCTACTGGTAAAACAATCAGAGTGCCGCCAATTACTGGTTGCAAGTCAGAAAGTTCTAGCATAATTTAAAGACCTGCTTGTTTTAACGCTCTATCCAGAATTTTGTTGACGGCATTACATTGCGCTTGAGATAATTTTATGGGCTTCTTGGCCAATCCGATCCGAGGTTTTCTGCATATGTATGCTTTTTTTTTTTGTTCGTGTACAACGACATTTACCTTAAGTTCAGCAATCGTTCGAGACTCCAAACAAAAACGCATTAAATAAAGCCGTTGCACTTTTGAAGGGTATTGCTTTCAGCCAAACAGTATTCAGGCCAGATACGCGGTTTAACGAAGAGCTTAGTGGCTCTTCTGATAAGCAATATGATGTCATTCCATTATTTCTGGTTTACTGTTGCGACGGATCATCCAGCTGAAATGCATCTCAGCTGTTGTTTGAGTGTTCCTACTTTACGACGACGGGAATGAGAGGATGCACAGAAAGCGGACAAAGCGAGGTTTGTGGCTTTGCAGGCCACTCAGCCGAGCAGGATGATTTACTTGCTTAACCTTGCTTGTTAATTGTGGTCTCCAAGGGCCGTTGCGTCTTGGTATCCAGTGTCCTAATAGAAACGTTGGTGCATCGCGTAAAATATATGATACCTCTGCACATGCTTAAGGGATGTCGGTGAAGGAAGTAGGAAAAGGTCCGCTTATAGTGGTCATTCCGTTTCCTCCTCGCAAAAAACGCTCATTTAAAATTTTAGTACTATAAAATTTAAAAAATATTTTTTTCCAGTTGCAAATGGGTCAGAAATTTAGTACAATGTGCGTTAACGGGTTTTCTCTATTCAAATTTTGGATCGTACGGGACAACTAGGAATGCTATTTTTCATTTCACTGAAGTTGTTTGAATCATAATTATTTTTCTACCACAGTTTGACTGTTCCAGCGTTAGGTTTTTATAAGAAAACTAAGAGGAAATTACGTTTCGTCATTATACTGAGCTTTATTACGCATTTATCTAGAGGCTATATGGGCCAGGGTAGGATGAACTTATATAGACCATTGCATTTCGAGCTTATATGACACCGAATGCTCTCGATGCTAATTCTACAGAGAAACAGAAAGATAAGTGACTTCAGGGTGCAACTTGCTTTAGTGAAAATGCATATATATATATATATATTGCCAGATATATATGCCAGTTAAACTAAGGCATAGGCTCCTTGCATTCGTTTTCCACTTTTCTTTTTGTTGTTGATTTGTAGCATGCGGTAATCATGATCATAGATCAGAATTTACCATAAATAGTTATTTAAATCAGAATCATGCAAAACGTAACCTCTGATATAGTCCTTTTTTCTATTTATTATATACTTCTTAATGGGAAAGTCTTTTTGGAACTTTTTGTTAAAATATATGTGTCTGATACAACTCCCCTTTTTTATACCTTAAAACAGGGCTGACCATCTATTGAAAGGAAGCTGCTCCTAAAAAATCTAGGCCGCAGTAGTTTGTTAATTAAAGTTTTTTTTAGTAGAATCAGTAACCTTTTGGTGTTCTGCCTTTTCGAACCCTCGATAGAGTGCACACTCAAATGGTGTGCGAATTCAATTGTGAACCACTCCTCTAGTAGTAGGTTCTTAGCCTATTTATGTCCGTGAAGGATCCCACAATGATCAGTGTCTAGCAGAGCATTGTTCGTAATCAAAATAGAAAAGGGGTGCTGCAGCCGTCACTTATTTTACATACTGAGGCAATAACAGCCTGAAAGTGAATAGAGTAACTCGCGCACTTCACTGAACAGAGAGCTGTTTTCGCTATGGTAAAAAATTTTTCAAATACGATTTTCAAAGGTTCTCATCGTTCAAATTGCGTGTTAACGTTGCAACGTCCTTCTGCCGCGGCTGAAGATAGTTTGTGAGACTTTAGCAAAGTTATCGCACAGATTGGGCTACGGAAGGTTCAGTCAATTGTAACGATTCCTGCAGAAGCTGACAAGCGTTTAACTTAAATCTTCGTAAAGTGACTGTTCCATCACAGCAGCAGCCACGTCGTCACAGAAGATGATGTGAACGAATACGCGCTCATCGAAGTGCATTGAAACTGGTGAAGAAAAAACTGTGAAAAGGTCTGTGCGCTTTTATCGTGCTCGAGCCTTATATATGAGCGTTCATCCCTGTCGTCGTTCGCTATCACCAAACACTTAACATCCTCTTTAACTAAATTTTCTAAACGCTGCTTTTTGCTTTGTTTACTGTTCATCTAAGAGACAATCGGAGTAAAGGTGGGTTGCGATGCTGTTTTTTTTTTTTTTGTAACTTTTATCAACTATTACCATTAGAAGAGGATCTAGGAATTGGTGTGTGGAGACAGGTTGACCGTATTGGCGTTTCCAACAAGTCATTCAAGTGAAGAAGTACAAAAAACGTTCGCAACGATAGAAAAGGCTGACAAGCTACCGGAGTTAAACCACCGTTGGTACCCGGAAACTGTTAATTCTGGGCTTATTCTTTTTGTATCTTAGCGCCTCTCTTTATTTAATGACCTGCTGGGTCTCATAGACATTCATGGTCACAGTAATTCCGCCACCTACGTTTCCAACATAGTGGTGGCGCCATCTAATGGCCGCGATTGCTTTCGCAAGGATGACTTACAAGTTTTTACTGACGTTACCGCGTGCTGCTTGTACAGCAATGTGCCCCTTGTTCAATGATACACAAATCGATGGCTGTGCCGAGAGTCAATTGTATGCTTATATGTAACATATGGGTAGACTGGCAAGTTTAACGAAATATAGGCTTGGCCACGTTATATGATCTAGTATAAACGTGGTCATTTTCTGGATGTTCACTCTATGCCTCAAGACTTATATCTTGAGAATCCGAGAAATCCAACAAGAATCCGATTGTTTTGTAGTAGCAAAACAATCGGATTCCGTAGAAAAATGTATGTGATTTAAAATACCAGGACAAAGTGTACTTTATGTATTTGAAACTTCGTAGTTAGTTTTATGCGTCGGTTTGTTTTCAATGGATAGAAATAGAATGACTGCATCCCAATACAGCATTTTCGCATAGACATATAGGAACTACCAATAGTGGTAAGTACATATTGCTCTTTGTTTCAGCTGATGTAAGAAGTGTACATAGGATAGTCATGAACATAGTCGTGAGCTTCACGGGACGGTCCATAGCTGGTAACAAAAAACATGGGATAGACATTTGATCAAGATTCCGTCGCTTTACTAGAAAATGCTAGTGTCCACGAATGCATTTACT